TTACACAATTAGGAGTTTATACTCGAACTAAGAAGCTTTGTAATAGAAAATTAAGTCGATTTGTTTCAAACTGATGAAAATTTAATTTATACATTAAAGTATTAAACTAAACATCATTAAATTTTGACCTCGTGTATGTGTGTAGATCACAATATAGATAGACGATGTTGCACGTAACAATTTCATCATCTTCACGTGATTAAATAGTGTTAGATACCTAACATTTTTTTTGTAGTGGACGACCTAATAATCACCAACACAAACTTATCAAACAAACACGCAATGTGGGGTTCACAATGTCTAAGTAGACTTTTCCATAAGGTTTCAATAGTTTTTTTTTCCTTCAGAAATAAAATAGCAAATAAAAACCGGATAAAAGAATCTAAAACATAAAAAAAGTGATTGGGTTCAATCCCCAAATTAAGAATCATCATCATCAAAGTAGGAGAGATATATCCTAATCTAAGACTTAATGCAAGGCATCGTTTTACAAACTGGACAAGTGTTCTTCCTCACCAGCCATTGTTTCACACAGTCGATATGAAACCGGTGCTCGCATCGCAATGACCCTACATTGTCTGTTGCCTTATACTCTTCCTGTCAAACAAAACAAAACATAAAACATTCCATAAGAAACAAATCTGCTTCCTCACCAATCTTAACAAATGAAACCAAATATGGACTTACTTGACAGATGCAGCACTTTCGATCTGCCAGTGGTGTCTTTGAAAGGAATGGTTTTACTTTCAGTAGACAGGTCTTGATCTGTTTTTCTGTAAGTCCAGTGTTCACATACCCAATTTTATCACCAAGCTCCAAAAGTTGCTGTTTTTTTTTTATACAACAAAAACAAACACAGCCTTAAAGAGAAACCAGAGCTGGTTTATGATACTTTTTCAATAAAGGCAACTAACGAACCTCATATGTCATGTTATCGACATTAAGCCTCAAGTCACGGAAGTTATCGTGTGAGCTTATTGTCCCTCCCATTACAAAACCATTCTGCATCATCATCATCTGCAATTACAAAATCCACATTGCACACAATCTCTCCATTATCCTCTTAAGACCTGAAACTCAAGTCAAGAACACTCTACCTCGGCGATTCCATCGTGGTAAGGATGTCGTAGATGACGATGATACCTATCAGACAACAGTGTCTGTTCAGCTCGGGATGTCGAATCAGCGTCAAAGTAATGATCTGATTCTTGATTCTGAGATCGCCTAGGAAGAACAGAAGAACCCTGCACAATGTAAACAGTTAAAGTTTAAGAGAGTTAAGACTCCCCTGAATCAAAATTCAAAACTCATATGATCACTTGAAACTAGTACAAAACCTGCAAAATCTTTAGAACCAGTTTAATCAAAAAGAGTCTGAAGCTAAAATTCCGAAGAAGAAACAGTGTAAAACAAACCTTAATGAAGTGTAAATAACGACGAATATGTGTAAAACCTAAAGTTGCTATTAGATAAACCTGAATCAAAACGATAAACCCTGAATCTAACAAATAGATAAAGGCAAATCATATATTCTACATATATATTATTATAAATTTGTAAACCCAACAGATTCTATATTTCAGTAATAAACTAATAATTTAAATCGAATTCAATAACGAAATTTCTCTGAAATCGAAGAAAAATGTAACATTTTACCTCTCTATGATTAGAGTTGTGATTACTGCTACTACTACTATTGTTGGTCTTATCTCCATCGATTTTGCGTCTCACCGGAATATTCCTTCTCGGAGGATCCGATTCGACGGGATCAATCGAACCGCCGACCACCGCATCAGTCGAAAACCCAACTCCAGGTCCGCACCAAACATCAGGAATCGCAACGCAACCGGTTCTATCTACCTCGCTTAAGATCTTAACCGGACCACCATTGTAGCTACCT